TATGAGACCGAGAGGTAATTAGCTCACATGTGGTAGTGGAGGAAGAGAAGAGAGTTAGTAGCTCCCCCTTCTTAAGCTAGAGGTTTCCATAGAATTTAATGCTCATTAGTTGTTTAAAATTACATAGAGATATGATTAATTTAGCAAACAAATAAAGGATTAGCTTGACTTGAGAAAGCTGGTTAATTAATTTAGGGAAATCCACCATCTCATGCAATAACACTATTATTTGAACTTGAATTAAATTAATAAAACAATTGCATAATTCAAAATTAAATGAAATCCAAACCCTAGTTCCTTCTCATTCATAGTTTCTTTAATTTAGAAAATTCTTTAGTTTAATTTTCTTAGTTTACTTAGTTTTCTTTTAAATAGTTTAGTTTTCCCCATTAATTGGTTAATTCAACTGAGGTTAGATTAATAGGGTCTTGGTAGTGTAGGATAGTTCTCGAGGGAACGATATCTTACTCATCTTATACTGCATAATTGATTAGGTTCACTTGTTTAAAAGTAGTGCGTATTTGGTGCATCAAGTTTTTTGGCGCCATTGCCGGGGACTAGTCATCTACATATTAAGATTAATAATTTGGCCTTAGATTGAATTTTTTTCTTTTTTCTTTTTCTTTCTTGATTAGTTGTTTTTTTTTTTTAATTCTTTATTTATCTTAGTTTTATTTTTTACTTTTTGATTTTTTTTTTAGGATATTAGTGCATGACCCGTAGTAGTGGTGGTAATCTTGTTCCATTTGATCCAGAAATTGAGAGAACTTTTAGAGAGTTTTTAAGAGAGCAAAAGCAGAACATCATGGCAGAAGGTGAAGGACAAAATAATGCACGCACTCTTGGTTCATATGCTACCCCATCTCTTGAAGGAATAGCATCCAGCATTAGGAGGTCAGCGATTCAAGCCAATAACTTTGAAATCAAACCAGCTATCATTCAAATGATCCAACAAACTGTCCAATTCAGTGGTTTGCCTAATGAAAATCCTTATTCGCATATTGCTAGTTTTCTTGAAATTTGCAATACTTTTAAGGCTAATGGTGTTAGTAATGATTCTGTTAGGCTTACATTATTTCCATTCTCTTTGCGTGATAAAGCCAAGAGTTGGCTTCAATCTTTTCCTGCAGGTCATTTTACCATATGGGATGTTTTGGTAGATAAATTCATAGCTAAATTTTTTCCTCCTTCAAAAACAGCTAAGTTGAGAAATGACATTACTACTTTTGTTCAATTTGATAATGAGTCATTATATGAGGCATGGGAAAGATTTAAGGAATTGGTTAGGCAATGTCCAAATCATGGTTTACCTGTTTGGCTCCAAGTGCAGACTTTTTATAATGGTATGACTCCTCCTAATCGTTCTATAATTGATACAGCTGCAGGGGGTAATCTTATGAATAAGACAGAGGAGGATGGTTATAAGCTGTTAGATGAAATGGCCTCTAATAGCTATCAATGGACTAATGATAGAGCTATCGAAAAGGGAGTTGGTTTACATGATGTTGATGCTTTTACTTCTTTATCTGCTCAAATTTCTGTTTTGAATAAAAAGTTAGATAATTTAGGAGCGTCAGCAATGAGTATTTCATCTAATAGTTGTTGTGAATTATGTGGGCAATTTGGTCATGCTAGCGTTGAATGTCAAGTAGGCAATTCAGTTCAATCTTCTAATGAGCAAGCTAATTTTGTTTCTTCTGGTGGTAGGTCTAATTTTAATCCATACTCCAATACCTACAATCCAGGATGGAGGAGCCATCCTAATTTTTCATGGAGTAATAATCAAGTGAGAGTACCACCCGGTTTTCAGCAACAAAATCAACAAGAAAAGAAGCCAAATTTGGAGGAGTTGGTGCACAAATTTGTTAGTAGTACAGAAGCACAGTTTCAAAATAAGGAAATAAGGTTTCAAAATCAAGATGCTGCTATTTGGAATATAGAAACGCAACTTGGATAGATTGCTGATATGGTTTCTGGAAAAGTTCAAGGGGGTTTGCCAAGCAATAGTGAAAAGAATCCAAGGGAGCAATTGAAGGCTATCACTTTGAGGAGTGGAAAAGAACTTAAAGAGGTAGGACAATCTAATGGGAAAGAAGAAGGTGTGGAAGCTGGTGAATCAAAGCAAGAGAAGGAGCCTAAAAGACTTTTTCATGATCCGAATGTCAAGCCTTACAAGCAGAAAATCCCTTTTCCTCAAAGATTTTTGCAAGCTAATTTAGACAAGCAGTTTTCTAAATTTTTAGAGGTGTTTAAAAAATTACATATTAATATTCCTCTTATTGATGCTGTTTCGCAGATACCAAGCTATGCAAAATTTTTGAAGGAGATCCTTGCCAATAAAAGGAAGTTAGAGGAGTTCGAGATGGTGAAGTTAAATGAAGAATGCTCTGCTATTCTTTAGAATAAGTTACCTCCTAAGTTGAAGGATCCAGGGAGTTTTTCTATTCCTTGTATTATTGGCAATGTTAATTTTGATAAGGTTTTGTGTGATTTGGGTGCTAGTATTAATTTGATGCCTTTTCATGTATTTAGGAAACTTGGATTAGGAGAACCTTCACCTACCACAGTCTCTCTTCAATTGGCAGATAGGAGTATTAAATATCCAAGAGGAGTGGTAGAGGATGTTTTGGTAAGGGTTGATAAATTTATTTTCCCTGTTGACTTTATTGTTCTTGACATGGAAGAGGATTTTGAAATGCCTTTAATTTTTGGGAGACCATTCCTTGCTACTGGTAGAGCTCTTATTGATGTTCAACAAGGGAAACTTAGCCTTAGAATACATGATGAGGAGATTGTTTTTAATGTGTTCGATGCTATGAAAAATTGCGATTATGATGGCAATGCTGTTTTAAGGATTGATGTGGTTGACAATGTAGTGGCTGAAAATTTTAATGCTTTTAGATTAGATGATCATATTGATAATTGCATTGTTAATGCTTTGGATGTGAAAGCTGATAGTGTAGATAATGACATTTTGGAGGCAGTAGCTATTCTTGGAGAAAAATGCCATAGGCAGCAACAAAAAGGAGGGAATTTTCTGCCCTTAGATGCATCGTCCACTATGACAATCAAGCCATCTAAAGAGGAGCCCCTTACTCTTGAATTAAAACCTCTTCCTTCTCAATTAAAGTATGTTTATTTGGGTGATTCAAATACCTTACCTATTATATTTTCTACTTTTTTGACAGGAATAAAGGAGGAGAACCTCTTAAGGGTGTTGCGAGAACACAAAGGAGCCATAGGATGGAGCATAGTGGATATCAAAGGAGTTAGCCCTTCGGTTTGCATGCATAAAATTCTGCTGGAGGAGGGGCACAAGTCGATTGTTCAGCCTCAAAGACGCCTTAATCCTAACATGCAAGAGCTGGTCCAAAAGGAGAAAAAGAAGTTCTTTTTTGATATTAAACATTATTTGTGGGAGGAACCATTTCTTTACAAGATATGTGGCGATGGAATGATTCAGAGATGTGTACCACAAGAAAAGGTAGATGCGATATTGACTTTTTGTCATGACAAAGAAGCTGGTGGTCATTTTAGTGCCTCTAAAACAGCATCTAAGGTTTTGCAATGTGGATTTTATTGGCCTTCTTTATTTAAAGATGCTTACGCTTATGTGAGTGCATGTGACCAATGCCAAAGAACTGGTAATATTTCTAGGAGACATGAAATGCCTTTGACTAATATTTTGGTATGTGACATATTTGATGTTTGGGGCATAGATTTCATGGGTCCTTTTCCTTCATCTTTTGGCAAAGCATATATTCTTGTTGCGGTAGATTATGTGAGTAAATGGGTAGATGCTGTTGCATGTCCTACTAATGATGCTAGGGTGGTGGTTAAATTTTTGAAGAGTAATATTTTCACTAGATTTGGCACACCTAGGGCTTTTATTAGTGATGGAGGTAAACACTTCTGTAATAGGCAATTTGAAAATTTATTGGCTAAATATGGTGTTACCCATAAAATTGCTACTCCATATCATCCTCAAACAAGTGGACAAGTTGAGGTGTCTAATAGGGAATTGAAAAGAATTTTGGAAAGAACAGTTAACTTGTCTAGAAAAGATTGGTCACTCAAATTAGATGATGCACTTTGGGCTTATAGGACAGCTTACAAAACCCTGATAGGTATGTCTCCTTATAGGTTAGTTTTTGGTAAGGCTTGTCACCTTCCTGTGGAACTTGAGCATTAGGCATATTGGGCTATGAAATACTTGAATTTTGATTTGAAAGATGCAGGTGAACATAGAAAATTGTAGTTGAATGAATTGGAAGAACTACGACTTGCTGCCTATGAAAATGCCAAGATCTACAAGGAACGAACCAAGGCATGGCATGATCTACATGTGCAAAAGAAAGAGTTTCACACGGGTGACAAGGTTCTTCTTTTCAATTCTCGATTGCGACTTTTTCCAGGTAAGTTGAAATCCCGATGGAGTGGTCCTTTTGTGGTGACTAAGGTTCTCCCTTATGGAGTTGTTGAAATTTCATATGATACTAAGGGAACTTTTAAGGTGAATGGGCAAAGGTTGAAAATTTATATTGAAGGTGGTAATTTTTCATCATTTATTTCCACCATTTTATTGAAAGATCCTTGACCATTTTGCAATGATAGTCAAGCTAATGACTGTAAAGAAGCGCTTAATGGGAGGCAACCCATCAAAAAAAAAAAAAAACTGTTATTTGACATTTTTCTATTTTGCATTGAGTTATTTCATTCTTTTATTCATTTTCTTTTGACTAATTTGTGTTGAGTTTTTGGCTGGGTTAGCTTTTTATTGCACTTGCAGCATCTTAGGCACCTACGACAAGATTTTTTTGGCTCTACAAGAACACATTGCATGCCTATAGCAGGAAGAGCAAGATAGGGGAGTATTGTTTTTCTTCTCCTATTCATTTATTTTTTACATTGAGGAAAATGTTAATTTTAAGTTTGGGGGAGCATATTTTTGTGTTCTTGCTTCTGTTGTGGTTTGAAGATTTAGAGTATTGGATACATGCATGTGGATCTAATTTTTTAGCATGGAATGAATATAGTCAAATGAGCCTATACATATTTTGTTGCATAGATGTTGCAAGTGAAGGATACTATTCTTCTTTGATTATTAGCTCAAAATTTAGTAATACCTTGATGAAAGTACTTGAGAGAGTTGATTTTATAATGGTTTGGTTGGAAATTATATGCATCTTGTGAGTAGGTTCCATTGTTTCTATGATGACTATCTTGTCTAATTATCCTTGGAAACTGCTTTGAAAAAAAAAAAAGAGTCAAATGTTTTGTGGCCTTTGTTACTTGAGTAAGTATGCTCTTAGGGGTGTCTCTTCACCTAGTGCCCTAAAGCCAACTGGTTTGGAAGTCATTGGCAAAAAGCTCGTTACATGGGTAACTTAGAAAGCCTAAGGAAACTTGACAAGAAAAGAAAAGAAAAAAAAGAAGGAATAAGCCAGCACACAAAAGAGTTTATTAATTTTTACTCCAATGTTTCTAGTTGCTTAGTAACTGGGGGTTAGCATGAGACCCATGTCAATTTTCACGTCAAATGGCGACTTGAAATATGAGTATGCAAAGCACTTTGAATTTATGACTTATTGAGTAATCGGGTGCTTTCATCACAAATGTTAGTATTCGCGTCAAAAGATAAGTGATAGCCCAAGGAAGATTGTGATGTATGGCTGAAAAAAAAAAAAAAAGAAAAGAAGGGGTAATTACATGGTATGTGGTTACATGTTTCAGTGGTGCTTATTTCAAGTTTGCATGGGTTTATTTAAAGATGAGCATGAATATAAAAGTGATAGTCATTGACTCCCTTGCTTGGTATTACTGAAATTTGAACTAAAAATCGAGTTGAATGTTGATGCTCCTTGTGTTATCTGTGTGGGGAAGAATGTACATGAGTTCTTTTTCTTTTTTTAGCTTTCTTTTGCTTGAGGACAAGCAAGAATTTAAGTTTGGGGGTATTTGATGAGTTTGCATTTATCTACCCTTTTTGAGCCTAAAATTAAATTTTATGGGTCTTTTCTAACTTAGTTTCACCTTTGTTTATATTAAATTCATTATTTGTGGGAGAAAATTAAGATAGGAATTAATTTTGCAATAAGTGACAATTTGCACATGCTGCAGTAATTTAACGATATCTTTTTCTCTAGGCATCGGATTGAGTTGATTCTTTAGGCGTTGGAAAGCTAAGAAGCAGAGCTACAATTGATGTTTTATGAGGTCAACCCAGTTCCTTCTGTATCAATACAGAATTTAAGTTGAAAGTGACGGTTTTGACAATGAACAGAGTGCAGAAATAAAGAGAATTGGGCTATGTTTTTTAGGTATGGGCCAACTGCAGTCCAGACCCAAAACAAAGCCCAATTCCCATGTCTGCTAGGGTTAAGAGAAATAAGGGCTTCTAATTTTTGAGGATATATATGCGAGGAGCCCCACGGCAGCAGAAGAGAGAAATTGTTCTGCCCAAGAGGTCAAGAGCACCCAACCGCCCAAAATCCCAGCCACCCGCATCTGTTGTTCACCAGCAGAAGAAGAGGACACCAACACGCAATACCCGAAAATCTGTTCACCAGCAGAAGGGAGAACACCCACCCAGATCTGTTCGTGAAAGATCCAACGCCACTGACAGCCTCTGTTCTTCTCAACCAGCTTTGTTAGGGAGGACAGCAGCACAAGTTTGGCTTGTTCTTCATTGGACGGGTGTTGTTGATTCTTAATTTGAATTTTTTATCATGGTTGTCTGCTGGAATTACCGAATTATGGCTGCTGTTGACAACATAATCATGCATAGCTAAATTTCTTTGAACTAGGGATGGATGAATTTTAATTTTTGGAATATGTGATTGTTTTTGTTAGTTTAATTCAAGATTTATTGGTTATTTGCATGATGAGTTTATATTATTGAGTTTAATGCATTGAGAGCTTGATTAGCTTTCAATTGATTTAGTGATTTATGCATGAACTTGAGAAAAAATTGCTTAGATTAGACCAATAATAATATAAACCGTGTGCTAGACTATGAGACCGAGAGGTAATTAGCTCACATGTGGTAGTGGAGGAAGAGAAGAGAGTTAGTAGCTCCCCTTCTTAAGCTAGATGGTTCCATAGAATTTAATGCTCATTAGTTTGTTTAAAATTACATAGAGATATGATTAATTTAGCAAACAAATGAAGGATTAGCTTGACTTGAGAAAGCTAGTTAATTAATTTAGAGAAATCCGTCATCTCATGCAATAACACTATTATTTGAACTTGAATTAAATTAATAAAACAGTTGCATAATTCAGAATTAAATGAAATCCAAACCCTGGTTCCTTCTCATTCATAGTTTCTTTAATTTAGAAAATTCTTTAGTTTAATTTCCTTAGTTTACTTAGTTTTCTTTTAAATAGTTTAGTTTTCCCCATTAATTGGTTAATTCAACTTAGGTTAGATTAATAGGGGTTAGATTAATAGGGTTTTCACAAATAGTATAATTGATAATTATGTTGAGAATATAATTGGTTATTGTAGGTTTTTTTTGATATAATTGACCTCTAGTTTAATATATCGTTAATTATATTCAACCATAATCGGCTATACTCTTTTTTCTTAGAATGTTCCTTTTTAGGACCCAATCATGGCTTCAAAAGTCTGGCTTCCCTAGATTTTATGTCTCATAGCCTTAACTCTTCTATACTTAGAGTGTACAAAAGCGTTTATTAAGAAAGTACTATACAAAAAGTCAAGGAACTACTTTATTAAGAAAGGTTTTACTAGGAAAGTGGTTAGGAAAATTGTTAAGTTTTGTAATGAAATTTTATCGAATTATTAATTTTGTTGTATTTAGTAAGAAATTAATATAGGAAGAGGTGTTAAATGAGCCGAATAGAGGGAAAGTTGTAGACAAACTTTTTTTCTTTCAAAGTAAGTGAGAAGAAAATTTTATAAGTTGAAAATTATATCAAGGAAAATAAATATTTAAAAAGTCACTTTTACCCTCCTTTTGTTATAGTTTTAATATGTAAAAATATATAAACAATTTTATAAAAAAAATTTAGAAAAATTTAAGAGGAAAGTTTCCCCTAACCAAACGCATCTTAGCGTTAGGGTTATAAAATAAAGGAATACATCTAATTAAATAATAAGAGTGGAGGGAAAGTATGGTCAAACCCATAACTCAAAGCCCAATATTCTCTTTTTCTATCAGGTCCAATATTCCCTCTTCAAATTGCTTTTTGGGCCATGGGAATTGGACCTAAATTAAACAAATCATAAATAAAAATGGGACTTAGTTTGTTTGGTTGACTGGGCCTACCCAGTCTGTCAATAATTTCTGGGCTGTGCACCGAAGCCCGACCTATTGGGCCTCTGTTTTTTATCCGAACCACCTAATTGAGGCCTGAAACCAAAAGTTGGGTTAAATAGCGGCCCGATGTTGGTTTGCTCCGGTCGATTTTTGGCCGGTTGAATGATTTTTGCCCACCCCTAAGTAGAAGTATCGAACTCACCGAAAATGTTTCACTATGATTACAAATATAGACAAGATAATTTTAATTTTTTTACATAAATTTGATGATTTATAATTCAGACTGAATCGAATCGTTAAATACCAATAATTGAATGGATGGATTCTTCTTTAATATCATATGATTTCTCTTAATATAATAGTTAATGTTTTTAATTTGATATAATTTGAATTTTAAAATACTTCTATATTATTTTTCTCAAGAAAAACACAACAAAATAAAACTGGAGTTTTTCCATTAACGTAAGGCTTTGCTGTAAGGACATAACGCCCCATGTTTGTCCAAGCGCTAATGCCACCTATCTTGTGCATTTCTATTCTTGAAAGCTGCTTTGTTCACGTCATGTCATGTTGTAGATAAAAAATTATGTAGCCGTAGCAGATTCTTTACTGTCATGCTTCCTTCATCCAAATTTGATTGTTAAAAAAAAAAAAATTAGTTTTACTTTCGTTTGTGATCACTTGCGAATTTAAAATATTTTTAATTTATAATATATTTGCTTTAAGGGAAATGAAAGGGATTAAAAAGAAAGAAGAGGAAAAAATTTTTTTTATTTAATTAAGAAAAAATGAAAAAGGAGGGAAAGGGAAGAAACCTTTATTTTTTTTAATTCATTTATTTATCTAAATGATATGGAGGGAAGGAAAAAGAGGAGAGGAGAGGGAAATGAAAGAGTATCATTTTTCTCTTTTTTATTTTACTCAACTCAAATATACTGTTAATTTTTTAAGTTTATTGTAACACTAAATCTCATCAAATTTTCATTGAAATTTATTTCTTTTAAATTTATAAAGATATTTTAAAACTAGTTTTTGCATACTTTAAAATTCTTAAATTATCTTAAAAATATACCTCTCATTTAGATCAACGCATTTAAAAAAATTGATCTTTTGTGTTAGACTTAGAACTTTAACCTTAAATCTAATATTTACTTGGTTTAAAGAAAGTAGAGAAGACATGAGAGGAGAGAGAGAGAGTTCCTTTACTTGAGTAAGAAAAAATTAGAGAAGAAAAGAGGGGAGGAGTTTATTTATTTTTTTAAAAATTTTGCTTTCATTTATTTTGTGCATTTTAACATAAAGGGTTATCTTTCTCCATTAAAAAAAATGAGGGTTGTCTTTCAATTTACCTTCCCTCAATTTTTTTAAACTAAACAAAATACTTATTATCTATCAGTAGATTGAATTTTTAAGTTTTCATTAAATCTGGTAAATCTATGAGAATGTGTGAACTAAATTTGAAAAATTTTTGGAGTGGTCATTTTCTAAGTTAAATTGGGATTTTTTTTTCTATTTAGTGTAAATATTTACAAAAGTTAGTAAAATTTGAGCTGTGAAAGTCATGGAAGGGAACTAGCGAAGAACAAATTTTAAGGATTAAATTCACTCAAAATTAACCATATATTTGGTTTGAAGAAAATGGAGACAAGGGGAGGGAAAGGGGCATGGACGAAGGAACAGTGAGGGGAATGACCCACTCCCCTCATTTGATTAGTGAATGAGTTATAGCAAAAAAATTAAAGTAATTAAATGACTCTATTTCCCTCCCCTCCCCTTCAAACTTTTTACCAATCAAATAGAAGAATTTTCATCACTTCCCTTCAAACGTACTATAAGAGTCCCTTGGAAGTTAGGTTCATATCTAGGAGTTATTTTTGTTGAAATTTACAAGTGATGGGTATGAACAATTGCTCGAGAATAAGAAAATTTTAAAGTGTGTAAAAGCCACCTTATAAACACTAGGTAATAATCTATAGATAATTTATTCATATAACTTTTATTTATAGATTCATATGTAGTTAAATAAGTACATATATACAATATCGATATCTTAAATAGAGTAAAAAGAGTCATTAAATCACTTATTCCTGTAGTCCTAAAATAATATAGTAGATGTTTTTATTTAAAATTTGTTCTAGAATAATACTCAGGTTGTTTTTTCATATTTTAAGAAATTTTTTCTTTCTATTTTAACTATGTTATTATCTTTTGACTTTGATTATCCATTTTATAATAAAATAGTTTTTTATTTTTATTTTTATTTTTATTTTTTAAGGCAATATAAGTGAAAATAAAAAATTTGCACCATAAAAAGGTAAAAATATTTTTTTTCCAAATTATTAATTTAAATAAAAAATAAAAAAATTCTATTATTTTGAAATAAATTAAATATAAAATTATATGAAAAATTATATATAAAAAATTATCCCTTAATTATTTTCCAAAGAAACCTAACCATGTAAATAAAAATAAAAAAATAAAAAAGCTAATAACAAACTGTTAATATTTGAAGATAAGGTCCAATTTGCTAGTTCTTTGAACGCTAATGGATCATGTTTATCTTTCTCAACATTTCAATTTAAAAAACGTGCATATAATTTGCTTCTGCAACACGGAACTCGATGGACATCACCTTTACTATTACTAAAAAATTGTTTAATATTTGACTTGGCCCTTAACTTATTTGGTTAGTGTTAAATTGGTGATTGAGGTTTTCAATGGCTAAATGGTGCTTAAATTTATTTTCAAAAATGTCTTTTGAAGTCCAAACCATAGGTGCATTGGTGATTAAAGTTATCAATTTAGGTTGTGTAAAAATAAAATTACCCTCAATGAATTATAGGTGCATGAAGATTCAATGATTTTGTTTTTGTTTTATCATAATGCACACTCAATGGCGTAGCCGTAATTTTGTGTTGGGGGGGGGGGGGGTGGAATTTTTTATGTGTTCTTTTATATCATTTTAATGCTAAGTCTTAAAAACAGAGACACTTGATAAAATGAAAAAAAAATACCCTTATTTAAACAATTAGAGTATTCAAAACTATTTACCACATCTATTTATATAAAAGGATATTCTAAATTTTAGATTAATTTCTCTATCAATATAAACAATTAAAAAGTTGAAAAGAAAATCTTTTTTCATTTTCTTTCAAAACCTTTTTTTACCAAAGTTATCAAAATTGTAATTCTATTTAAGATTACATAGGGATTGTAATATAATATAAATAATTGTAACTAAGAACACAAAATTTTACATCATGAGAATTTTTTATGTTTGCAATTGATTTGCTATGAATTAGGAAAGGGCGGGAAAGGCTAGGGAAGATTTGTAAAGGAAACGAAAAGATTGTACCAACCTCATTTGGATGGATAAGAATGAATGAGTGGAGGAGAGAATTAATTTAAATTTATACTTCTATTTTTAATTAATAAGAAATTATAAAAAATTAAGAAATAATAAGATAAGTCAATAAAAAATGAAAACAACTAT